AGTAGACATGGCTATTATTTCCAGGACACAGATTGTTCAATATTAAGTGAGGGAAAGATTAAAATTACTGCTAAAACAAAATTATCCTAATGCTTAACTAGTGTAATATTGCTAAAGCATTTTAGGACTTTGAATATAACTCCTGAATAATAGTAAAGAAGTCTCAGTGGAAACTGATGAGAATCAGTTTCTGAAATGTTGCATAAGGAAACATAAAGGAGTGGAAAATCTATGATATTTCAAGAAAGAGTTTGAATGCACACCTGGGAATTGTCTGTTACTGTGTGCCTTCATGTTGTTTTTGACTTATGGGGACCCTAAGGCAAATGAGGTTTTCTTGAAAGATTTGTTCAGAGGGGGTTTGCCTTTGACTTCTTCTGCAGCTGAGAGAGTGTGATTCCCCAAGGTCACCCAAAGGTTTTATGCAGGTAAAATCAAACTCTAGATACTTCCAAAGATGTTTTCCTCTTCTGGATGAGCTCTAAGGCAAGCAAGATTTAACTGAAGGTAAAGTTATATAGGGATAAACCATACCTTGATTTCCCACATATAATGATAGAATCTAAACCAATCAAGGAACAAATCTTGAAGTAATTGTAATTGGCTTGTGGCAAATCTTGACTCAGAGTGCAAATTTATGGCTTATCCAGAAGCAAGTTTCCTTACTCCTGAATGTTCATAGCTCTGTAGCCTCAGACTGGAACCGACTCACCAGAGATTATGCCAGTATAAATTCTTAGGATATCTCACAAGGAGGTATCCAGTACTTTCTAATGTTAGGCCTTTTCCCTAGCTGCACAATGTCAGTGAAAGATCAGCACTTGGTGCAGTTCCTTGCTTGCACCACCATTGTTAAGCCATGGTGGTAAACCTGAGCACTGTTCAGCTACCATTGTGGAGCTGGTGGAAAAGAGACAAGCCTTTGCCATTCCAGACCATATAAATTATTAGACTCAATGTCTTGTGACAGTGAAGGAACATACATTCCAAGTGGGAACTACAGCAGGCCCTCCATTTTCACTGGGATTAGGGGTGCAGGACCTCCCTATGGAAATGGAAAAACTGCAGATAAAAAAAAAAACACTATTATTTTTTTTTGTACCTGAGCAAACACAGGAATCTTCAAGTCCTCCAGTGCAGCTCAACATCTATCCAAAATTGCTTATAGAATTGTACTGGAAGACCTACAAATTGCTCATCTTAATCCATCTACAAATAACCAAAGCCACAAACGTCAAAGCCACAAATGTGGAGGGCTGACTGTACAAGGAAAGGGACCATGTAGTATGATCTAATTTCCTTGGTTTAACAAGATGTAGAGCATGGAAAGACAGAGCAATACAAGAGCTCTCAGCAGTGAATCTATCTCACTCATGTCAGGTGAGCAGTGAATCAGCTCTGGGTTCCAGTCTTAATTTTAAAGTAGGATTCAGCACCTTGGATAGCTGTGTGAAAAATCAGTAAATCCAGGAGTTGATTCAGCATCCCACTGACTTGGAAGCCACCAGCTATTATTGGTTACTAAGGGGCAGAAGGAAAGGAGAGAAACCTGGGGTCTTCTTGGAGTTTGGAGAAGTTACTTTTTGGACAACAGATGTCAATCAAAGATTTTTTTCTGATCTCTGTAGGGTATGCATGTACATATGACACATTTGACACAGTATATGACCCTTGTCCATAATTTTAACAGGAGACAAAATGTTAAGGAGGTGAGGAAAACCCTATGTAAAAGATTGCTACTATTTTGAAGCCATCCTGTCTACACATTGGTTTTAAATTCCTGGCTATTATTCTTACAACCCAGACACAAACATAGCCCTGGTGCCAGCTTCTCAGCTTTCTGGAGCCATAGAAGGTTGGGTGGTGAATGTCTTTGAAGGGAGAAAACTCGTAGCCAG